TTTTTTTAGGGGGGGGGGGTGGGGGGGGGGGGGGGTTACATTATTACGCTACAAAGCGAACGTTTTGCACCAAACAAATCTTCGTTTATTTGACGTGGGAATTTCTCCTCATACTTTATCAGCGGTTCTCAACTTGTGGGCCGTGACCCCCTTGGGGGTTAAACGACCCTTTCACAGGGGTCGCCTAAGACCATCGGAAAACACATACTTATGACGTAGCAACGAAAATAATTTAATGGTTGGGGGTTATGACAACATGAAGAACTGTAGTAAAGGGTCGCGGCATTAGGAAGGTTGAGAACTACTGCACTATATCATAGCTTACCTGGTGAATAGTTCGAACTCGATATTTCATGAAACTTCTTTTTATTTTACAGATAAAACATAACAAATACCCCACCCCCCTTCCAATGCACCTATTCCCAGTTTAAGACTAATCAAATCTAACTCAGACAACATCAATTCTATTTTAATAATCTAAGCACTGAGATAAAAAATAATAAAACTGATTAAAAGGATTTGGTCTTCAACCAAAATATTAAAAAAATGGGGAATTACATTCGGGCTGAAAATTGATTTGAAGAGTTAAACTGATTGTGATTATTGTTGTTGCTTTTTTTTTTTTTTTTCGTCACCATTTGAAATTACTCTCCTTCCAGGACGTGCACTCTCCAATCCGACCTCTCCGCTTACTTCTTTTTTTTTTATTTTTTCTTTTTTTTTGTTTTTTTTTTTTTTTTTTTTTTTTTTTTTTCGTCACCATTTGAAATTACTCTCCTTCCAGGACGTGCACTCTCCAATCCGACATCTCCGCTTACTTCATTTAGTGAATAAATGGATTTAAGACATGTTGTATTTGTATTTATGATTTCTATAAATAAAGCTCGGCACTAACGTAATATTGGGAATAAATGTTAAGTGACCATAAACTATTTTTAATAGTGGTTATTTATAATTTTAAATTTATTTCACAAGTAATTTGGGATTTCCTCACTCAAATATTATATATAATCTCCACGCGCAGGGACTAAGGTCAGTCGTTCGTTGCTACATCTCGCTCCACGGTTTCAGGTGAGAGGCGTTGTTTTTTTTAAATTTTATCATTTTATACAGTGGCGTAGTTAGCCTAATGGCCATCCAGGATTTTGCTCCCCCCCCCTTTTTTTACAGTTCCCACCCGGGGGTGGAGCGGTCCCTCCTCGACCCCTTGCCCACGCCAGTGATCTTATGATGACTAGCGTTTATTTTTTAGCAAAAGATTTTGCATTATAAGAAAAAATGCGTAATTTACTATTTGATATTTGAATTTAAGTCTGCCAGATAATTATAATGTGTTCAAATTATCAAGTTATCAGGAACTAAGAAATTGTTGACGTTTGTCGTCAGGATATTCCGAATCTCAAATGTCTAGAACGGATCTCGTAAACATTTCAGAGTCGGCGCTCGACACCGGAGTCGTTAATTTAATGTTGGACCCCGTAAACCCACCCAACATCAACGCCTTTTATTTATTTATGAGTCATAAAACCTATGGTGTAAAAATAAAATATCGGACATACCGTGATACAGTTTGAACTATTTATAAACTTGATATATTTTCTTTGTATCCGTTTCTTTCCCAGCTATGATCACCTACGAATCTACTTTACACATTTCAACAAGGTAAGACGTGGCACTGACTGTTAAATTTAAAAAAAAACAACATTACGTGCGAAGCGAAAAAAACAATTGGGAGCAGCGATGCCTATTAAGTTAAATAACACATGGTGTTCTATGCACAGTGTTCTCCCCACACCCCCCCCCCCACACACACACACACTTAAAAAAATTGTTTTAACTAGACAACGAAAAAAAAAAAACGATACAAAATAAATATATGGGTATGCTAATCTGCGCAAAGAGATAATATATTTTTCTAGTAAAAATAAATAGGCCCCTATATCTTAATCTACACAAAGATATAATATGTCTTATTAAGTTCTCCAGTAACACTTAAGTTTTTCTTTCTTATTCACAAAAATGAAAACATTAAAAAAAAACAGCTTTAACAAATATATGACCATTTTGAATCCCCTTGATTACAAATGACATAAAGTGTTATCCACAGTCATAGTCATCAGATACACTACAGGGTGGGCCAATAAAAGTGAGCACATCTCGTATATATGAGTTATTTCAAAATATAATTTAATTAATTATAATTCTTCATGGAATTTTTTTTCTTCAAAATATTTAGCTAATCAGAAATCATGTTCAATGTGTCCTCCTTGCTTCGCAACGACTTTTTCCAAGCGTTGACACCACACGTTCATGCTTCTGTCAATGAAACGTTGCCCTAGATTTTACGAGATGTTCTCACTTTTATTGGCCCACCCTGTATATCTGCATATTTTTAACTGCTTGGTTTCAGGTTAATTTTTATGACCAAATGCCAAACATTTTATTTATTTAATTTTTTTTTTTTTTTATGGGGGGGGGGGGGGGTGTTGTACCATTTAGTTAAATAAATTCCGCTAAAACCGTTCGATTATCTAAATATAGGAGAGACGTACGCAATCTGTTGCAAACCTTTCAAAGGCATATCCTATTGCTACGGCTAAAAAAAAGAAGGGACCAAAAATTAAAAAAAATAAAAATCCCCTTATATCTACATGGTGTAATTTACAGTCTTTTTCAAATCGCTGTTAAATCAGACTAAGAAAACCATGCGTGTTTAATTTTTGTTTTTTGTGTGTTCATCATGTGATTAAAAACCACATGGTAAAAACCATGTCAAAGTTAGCATAACACAAACTTAATATGATTTCACCCCCCCCCCCACACACACACACACTTTTTTCCACAGAAATCCAGCACAGACATGTATGCACGTCTACCCGGCATGCTTTTGTTTGGCCTCGGTCTATTCTCGGTCATACGGTCAAGTAAGTCCACTCACCATCGACGAAATCAATGAAAAATGCCTTATTAATGATCGGTGCAACCATGTGCTATTTTTGTTTAGTGAAGCCAAGAGGTTGTCATAGTGCTATTTAAGCGAATCAGAGTAAAAGCACAATGAAATAAACATTATTCAAACTAATTAAAATAATAAGTCATCATTTTGAATATTGCAACCGATGATGAAATGATCACAGCTGCGTCGTTTCTAGATATTTTGGGAAAAATTGAAAACTACCAACCATCCATCCCTTATACTACCCCCACCCCCACCCCGTCATCCAGGCTAGAAGAATTAAGGCATTAAATATAAAAGAAAATAGTAGGGCTATTCAAAATTTAAAAAATCTTTTACAATTTTCAAATGTTCCCCTTTATTTAATTATTGATTCCTTCTTTGAGTTTGCTCATTTTGTTGTTGTTGTTGTTGTCGACGTTTCATAAATAATTTTTTTAAAAATAATTGTGTGTTGTGGGTGAGGTGAAGGGACCTACAGCTGACCTATCCTACCCAATACAAAATTGTGTTTCACCTCTTGTTCCTGCGTACGGCGTCACCACCAATGTCTAAACATGTCAACAGCATGTGAATATGTTGTACGGAGTATTACAATGGAGGATTTGTTCACTCTACCAAGTGTTTTGTGTCAGTCAATAACATGGGAGCATTGCTGTGCAATGTAAAATCAGATTTAGATAAATAAATGTATTTTTATAAAAACGCATTTTAGCGTCGCTTGGTTATCGGGGACATTTAGAAAGAATGCCAAAATGAAAGGAGTGAAGAGGGTGGTATACCAAGAGGGTGCACCACCATTGTCGGCCATTGACCAAAACCCCAACAGAGGAAAACGGCTCAAAGTAAGTCACAGGCGGACCTGGGCTGAAGTAGACATACGATGTAGGGGAAAAAGATACAGCACACCTGTTTACCCTCAAACTCAAATATTTAAAATCGTACAATATCATCTCAAAATCGTTCAATACATTATATGTTATATGGTAAAAAAATAAAAAAGGTATATAATAATTTTATTAATAATATATAATGTCGGTAAATTCAGAGAAAGCGGCCCGAGTCTATTTCCATGGCCACCATCTTGGTTGCCTCGATCCGCTCACTTTTACGTGTTCACGGGTCGAGGCAACCAAGATGGCGGCCATGGAAAAATAAAATAATTCACGTTTGCTAAAATTTGGAAGAAATCGTGAGAGTAAACAGGTCTGATACTGATACAGCAGCTGGGAGTCCAAGCATGGAAAAGAAAAGCATCCATTAGGTCTGATTGGAAGGAAGTGGTGAGGCAGACACTAAAATGGCTAAAAGTAAAAAGGGTTGTAAGTTGTAGCGCCACAATTTTGATGGATTAATAATAATAATAAGTGGTCTTATATAGCGCGGTACCCCGGCCTAGGGCTGGGCTCACCGTGCTGTACATAAATATAGCAAAGAGGCATAATCATAATATTAAAATAAAATACATAAATGAAATAAAAACAACATATAAGCAAAACAACACCATAGGTATATTCATCCACCCACACCAGACATTTTTACAAGGAAACCCATGTACGTTTATCGGTTTATAGGAGGAGAATCAGTCAGAGTAGTATAGTTTAAATAGATGTGTTTTGAGTGCAGTTTTAAAGGCCTGTGTGGTTGTTATATTGCGGATGTGTAGTGGCAAAGAATTCCATTGTTTGGGGGCGCAGAAAGAGAAAGATCGTTCACCATATAATTTAGTGCGTGTCTTGGGAACGGACAGAATACGCAAGTCTGCGGAGGAGCGAAGTTGTCGAAGGGGTGAATAGACAGAAAGAAGTTCAGTTAGATAGGAAGGGCAGGAATCCGAGAAAAAGTTGTGACAGAGAAGAGACAGCTTGTAGTCAATGCGTGCCTGTATAGGGAGCCAATGTAGTGAGTGGAGTAGTGGAGTGACGTGATCGCGTTTTTTTGCCTTAAGAACAAGCCTAGCAGCAGAGTTTTGAACTTTCTGCAGTTTTTGATTATGATTATTATATTTTATTAAGCCCTATTAGTTATAGTATATGATATATGGCATTTTAAAATGGATTTTATGTTGAAACGTAGAGCTGCTCTAAAATTAAAATAATTAGCCATTGCGTTCATATCGCGAGGACTGCTTTGGACGAAATAGTCTTATATTTTAGACCGAGATTTGAAAGCCATTAATTAATTACATTATGATTGTTGTGACACATTAGTGTGACCCTTTATGTTCGAATACACCATCAGGAGTCACTGAATGAGAAAAAACTTAATGAAATTATATTAGTTAAAAAAATGTTCTTCATTCAGTCATTAATAAAATTGTTTGAGGCATTAGCTTTATTTTTAAATTGGTTCTTATCGTGTTGTGCAAGCTTGCTTGTCAGTTTCAATTTACTGTTCATATTCACTTTACTGTCCATATTTAATTCACCTCCATATTTAGTTTTTATATGATTATTATTATTGGTACAACATTAATGGTATTTTTTGGTTCAATTTGTAACTCTTTCATGAATAAAATTATTTCACATCCGAAATTATAAAATGATTTTAATTAAATCGTTTTTTCACAGAATATGCAGATCCTACCTTAAGGGACCTTCTCAGAATCAAGTGTAAAGGTGGAAAACCCAACATCTGTCTGCCCTACGGAATATGTTGTCGCCCATCACAGTTTTGCTACAACGGTTTATGCGAGACGTGTTTCGATGCTACAGTAAGACATCTCCCACGAGAAGAGAAAAGACAATGGTGTAGAGACTATGGCCAGCACAACGTTAGTTTGATGCGGCACAGCACGTGTGGCATGGCATGTCAGTCGCTGTTTACATCAAACGACCTGAGCACAAAGATCAACGGTACATCATAAACTATGTCATAGATTAAACCTGTTAGACTTTGGATTTTGTTTTATACCATAGGTCCATACAAGACGTTAATTTTTAAATTTAAAAATGATGCTGGACAATCTATCGGTCTGTAACAATGGTGTAGCAAGGGTTAATGTCAGATTCATACTGCTCCTTCCACGAAAAAACTATATACAGCAGTTAAAATTAAAAAGTGCCACCCAGGGCAGAACCCCCCCCCCCTTTCTTTGTTACGTGACTGGTCTGGAGCCTATTCGATTTACAATGCCTGCAATGTAGGTCCATACCGACAAGGGTTTTAGATTTTGTTTTATACCATAGGTCCATAAAAGACGTTAATTTTTAAATTTAAAAATGATGCTGGACAATCTAGCGGTCTGTAACAATGGTGTAGCAAGGGTTAATGTCAGATTCATACTGCTCCTTCCACGAAAAAACTATATACAGCAGTTAAAATTAAAAAGTGCCACCCAGGGCAGAACCCCCCCCCCCCTTTCTTTGTTACGTGACTGGTCTGGAGCCTATTCGATTTACAATGCCTGCAATGTAGGTCCATACCGACAAGGGTTTTAAATACTTAAGGTGTGTTTTTTTTCTGGAAATATTGAACTGGATTGGCATGCAGTAAGGTACCTAATATTGGGTGAAAAAGGAGGGGTGGAGGGGGGGAAAGCGCTTAGACGGCTTTTTAAAAATTTTAAATATTAAATTGTATAAATGATATGAGTGTGGTCAATTTTAGAGTTTCCACCTGGAAGGATTTAGTCAAACTCACCATTGTTACCATGAAAACTTCCATACGTACTATTTGGATGGATTTTTTACAATCTTGTGGTAGTCCTGTTCAAGTTCAAGCTTGTGATATCAACCATTTTAAATTGTTAGCTGCATAATTCGATAAAATATGTAAGGTTATTTTTAATAGATTTTCACCGTCTTTTTTATCGATGCTGCTTGAAAGAGTCCTCAAAGTAAACCCTGTTATTGTTTTGATTAATAAAAAAAAAAGAGAAAACAATCATTCATTTATTTATTTTGATTCCAGACACCAGCCTCCAGATTTCACCAGTGAGAGATCATGAGGTGAACCATGTTGTGTACTCCAACACAGGTGTCCTTGTTTTGGGAATAGCAGGTACCGGTTTAAAAAAAATATATTTCCTGTCAAAGATTGGTCTGTACTGCTGTACTGTTTTTAGCTGAAATAACTTTCTTTTGGTCTTGTGAATGAATTAAAAAAGGGTCAAAAGCTGCGTACATCAATATTAATGATGCAGACTTTGACTATGACTCTGAGATGTGAAATTCGGAAGCCATCTGAAGCCCTTTTAATTTTATACAAGTTTTTAGTTGCTAAATAATACAAAAAATAATAGTCAACAACAATATTTTAACAAATAAGCATTTAGACATTTTTAGCATTTAGACATCTTAATATTTAGACTCTTTGGCATTTAGAGATATTGGAATTCAGACATAGAGACTTGTTATACACTTTGGCATTTAGACATTCAGGCCATATTTTTCCCAGCCCCTAAATTAGAGAAGTTTATGTTAAGAAAAACATCCTGCCAGACCAAATGAGGAAAGAAGCACAATCTGGTATATATTTTAAAAATTGAGAGCCCACCATTAGCGATAAAACTGTTATAGATAAACCATTTTAACACAAAGTAAAAAATAAATGTTATATTTTCCCAGAAACTTTTTGTTATTAAGCATTAACGTCTGTGAACACTTGCTTCAAACCCTTGTTGTTCCCTACATTTGCTAAATAAAATGCATATCTATATCTTTAAAAATAATTTTTTTTTAAATCTGTGACACTACCACTGTATATAAAATGATTGCTGTGAACCTTCAAATATTTCACAACTGTTTAACTTTGGCACTATCAGTTGGTAATGAATTACATTTTAGTTTAAATTGTTATCTGCAAAGATACGTTTATGTCTTTCAATATTTCATTAAACACGAGATATCCCATAATTTCAGTGACATTACAGTCTTTTGTGATTGCCGGCCTCATTTTGGTTTTTTTTAAAAACTTTGGCAGGAAATCAATACATAAAGGTAGGTTTATAAAAAAAAAGTTCATTAATTCAAAAATATTTATAGGTGCAGCATCATAAAATAAGATAAGATAAGGTATTTTTATTGATCCAAATAAATGGAAATTTGTTTTTTTTACATTCATCGTACATATTTCCCTCAGCCCTTGAAATGGTTGTTTATATTTTCCGTTGTTCCTGTAGCGAGACACTCGCCGTGTAAGTGTGCAGTATGAATAACTCTTGAGTTCTTGAGTGAGATTTTTATTTGAACGAGGTTTTCTTCTCCAAGATGACGTGAACGCCTTTTGTTTGTATTCGATTTGTCTTTAAATAGTTGGTTTGAACTTGCCATTTGTTTACAAGATGGCGTCTCAATAGTTTCCAATATGGCGGCTATGGATGGGTCTTGGTGTATGGCAACAACGTCCAAAAAATCATCGCGGTAAAAAACACAAGATAATCAGTCAACGGAGATAAAACACACCTTGATTCCACAAGAAAACGTTGTAAAAACCTTTAAACTATTACGAAAGCTGGAAAAAAATGCACAGATGAATTTGAGTCGCCTGCAGAGCGGCGCCTGTAAGTAAAGGAGTGCAGAGGAAGGCGTTTTGTCACAATTGGCACTTTTTTTTAATTGGAGGAGTGGCGTTTTCAGCTATTTTCATGGAAGGTGGTGGGGGGGAATCTTGGCCTCCTCCATGGCACTAATCCCAGCTATGTTGCTGATTAGATAAAATTTATATGGCTAAGATTAGATGTGCAATGATTTAATTTGTTATTTGTGTGTAGCATGTGTAGAGAAATTGGTGAGTGGCTTCTCTCTTAAATGGCATTGCTAATCTTGTGTATTAATTTCGTTCTTTGTACTGTTTGAAATATCAAAAGTTTTCCCATGGTGTGTGGGGGAAAAGTTATATCACCTCTTACTGATGTCCTTTTTCAAGGCAGACAATCGTAACAGCATTTCACTATTTTTTCCAAATTTAATATATAATGTTATAATTTTAGTGTTTAAAAAAAGATTTTCTGATATAATTCATCAGCACCCCCTTGAATAGTCACAGCACCACAACTCCTAAATTTACATAGTATTTACTGCCCCCTGGGACATCCCATCCCCTGAGGCCGGTACCACCCACTTTGAGAACAACTGTTCTATAGAATGCTACATTATAATATTTAAGTGGGAGACCAATATTTTTTTAAAATTTCTGTTGGAAAAAAACAAAACTTTTCATACATTTTTCTCCAAGATGCCAGGAGTTTACTACTTAATGAACTCTGGTGTAAATTAAATAATCCATTAACTTTGATAAAAATTAATTAAATATTTTTACCCAATGTCACATCATAAGAGAATGCAAACTTGGCTTTGTCTATTGATTCAGTGAAGTCGATACAGTCTGGTTATTATTATTGAGAAATATTTGTGAAAGAAAAATGTCTTATTTCTAAACTAAGTGAGACAGTTACTTGCTGTTCAAATAAGACTCCTGCTTTTTGTTTTTTTAACCCAGTTTACCCTGCGATTGAGGAAGAGCAAGATGGCCGCCATAAATACAGTATCCGGAGAAAACAGCAAGTGGATGAAGAGAGGAAAGGCATGAGTAAACGGGAAATAGTGCCGTTGGTTGATAATACACTCGAACCTAATGACATTTCTCTTGCTGGACAGGAGACAACAGTCTCCCCTGTTACAGAAAACCTAAACCCTAATTTGTCTACAGATGTTTTTACTTCAGAAACTAGATTGTGACGAGGATGGGGAGGGGGGGGGCAAGGTGCATTCGAATATAACCATTATTTGTATTTGTTTTTATCTGTTGCAAGGAAAGTGAATGTAGAATTTTTGCGAACTTTTATTTTAAACGGACAATAAGTTGTTGTTTTTTTCCCCCCTTCAGTAATGTGATAAACCTCCCCACTACCCATTTCATTTTTGTTTTTTTTAAATTGGAAATTGAAAAAAAAAATTCTCTGACCTAATAATTCTGTCCATATTTTTGTCAGTAGAGTTCATACATACATAGTCAAATTTAATTTTAAGTTTTTATTTAGATGTGATGTTTTAAAAGTATAACTTTAACCAGCCTTAAGTTTCAGCTGCCTCATTTATTAGATTGTTCAACTGTATGCCTTCTCATAGTAACTGTACTTAGCATCCTGTAAGTCTGATTTATATGAATTTTGTTATAATGTTATATAATTGTTCTAATATATTTGTTTTTTTATTAAAATTATATCTAATTTATTTGATTTTGTTTAAAAATGATGTCTGATTGATTTGATTTTTGTTGTGTGGAAATAAATTAAACGTTCCCTTATAAAATAAATTATTTTTATGATGATTGTGTTGATAAAAATATGTCTTTGATTTAACAAAAATGTGTTATAATTAAACTATTCCAACGTATTGATATCATTACTTGGAAGCTGAGAAAATGAAAAATAGTTTTGATCAGAGAAAAGGCACTAGTTGAAATATCACAAATAAATAATTTTCTGGACATGTAAGTAAGGCTGTCTAACTTCTGTGTTCAATAGGTGTGAGGAAATAAGATTCCTAAAAGTTATCGCTAATTGGGGTTCTTGTGAAGTCGTTACCGGTACTTGAAATGCATGTTGTGACGAGTAATTTTAGTTGATGGGAGGTTCACTCTTCGCCTCCGCCATTGTTTGGCGGGTTATTTTATAGTAATAATGTGTCAGTAAGTGGAGTCTATCAAATTGTTCTGATCTAGGAAAATATTTCCGGAAAAAAAGGACTATTAATGACTACAATCGCGATCAGCAGGTACTTTACAATTACATCTTGCAGCTTCTTGAATAACAAAAAATGGACACCCGGAATTCAATGGGGAATAACTCCGTTTTCCATGAATTTCAACTTAACAATCGCGGTGGTTGCCCCGTGAAATTAAGAGATTTTTCTCCCTTCAGTTCGTTAGATCATATATTTCTGGCGTCTGCCTTGGAGCATTTTTAGGAAATGTAATAAAGAATTTCGCTTTATTTATAACAGTACTGGATCCAACACCATGCTACACAATGCATGAAAATGTCACAGACTAGGGTCACAGTACACAACATGACACTTGGAACTGACTGTTAAAACAGAAGCAAGGCTTTTTTTTTTTTTAATTCTACGATTTTCATTTCTTTCTTACAGAATTTCAAAGTGTTCCGTTTCAAAGATTATTTTAATTTTTTTTTTTTTTTAAATTCAAAATTGAAGTGCGTGCGATATCTAAAGACCGTGTGTCTTCTTCTTTTGCCAAATCAGCCGTTTACAACTTGTGTGAATTTTGCCTGTCGGCAATGATGTAGGAAAGGGGGCTGTGGAGCGATGGTCCGCCCTGGGTGGCACTAACTTTTCATTATTAAATATGGAGAAGAAAAAAAAAAGGGGGGGGGGGTGCATTTTCGGTCGGCTGTAGTTACTTGTTCTTTGAATGGGGGCGGCACATATCTTGGCCCGCCCCGGGCGGCAGTAAACCTAGCTACGCCAATTCCTTTTAAATATTGTGTGCATTAATTAAAAGATGTTCTCCTATAATTTAGGCTAGATTTGAAAACGTACTCACATTACTAATACCTAGAGAATTTCAGGTTGAACTGGAAGTAAATCCATTGCAACCATTTCTTTGATCATTCGTTTTTTTTCGAGATGTATATCAAAATAATGAAACTTCAATGTCATCGAAAACTTCCTTTCCATGTTTATTTAAAATTTCTATACATGATGACGAAAATATATTTGTATTTTTAACCAAAAAAAATATTCTAATTGCTTCATCTTTTTTTTATTATTAAAAATCCATATGTATGGAGCAATTAACAAATGAACCAATGGACAAAATGTACAATTTAATAAGAAAATAAAAAAAATAACAATATTTTAAATCCTTTATATTAACTTCACTTTTGTTCGTTGCTGGCTGGCAAAATTCTTGGGACGGCAAAGTGACCCACTTCCCGTCAACTTAGTGATCTGAAACTTGGCACATAGACTCGATGACGATACAATTATCCAGATTTTCAGCACCACCCCCAACCCGAAAAATATTTAAATAGTAATCAAAATAATTTAACTTTAAACACGTTTAATTAAACACAATAACTTTATGTCTGATTAACCGAACTGAATAGAAAATGACGTGAGACAGCCACACAGACCGTGAACACAATAACTTTATGTCTGATTAACCAACCTGAATAGAAAGTAAAGTGAGACAGCCACACAGACCGTGAAGACAATAACTTTATGTCTGATTAACCAACCTGAATAGAAAGTAAAGTGAGACAGCCACACAGACCGTGAACACAATAACTTTATGTCTGATTAACCAACCTGAATAGAAAGTAAAGTGAGACAGCCACACAGACCGTGAAGACAATAACTTTATGTCTGATTAACCAACCTGAATAGAAAGTAAAGTGAGACAGCCACACAGACTGTGAACACAATAACTTTATGTCTGATTAACCAACCTGAATAGAAAGTAAAGTGAGACAGCCACACAGACCGTGAACACAATAACTTTATGTCTGATTAACCAACCTGAATAGAAAGTAAAGTGAGACAGCCACACAGACTGTGAACACAATAACTTTATGTCTGATTAACCAACCTGAATAGAAAGTAAAGTGAGACAGCCACACAGACTGTGAACACAATAACTTTATGTCTGATTAACCGAACTGAATAGAAAATAACTTGAGACAGTCACCCAGACCGTGAACACAATAACTTTATGTCTGATTAACCGAACTGAATAGAAAATAACTTGAGACAGTCACCCAGATCGTGAACACAATAACTTTATGTCTGATTAACCAACCTGAATAGAAAGTAAAGTGAGACAGCCACACAGACTGTGAACACAGTAACTTTATGTCTGATTAACCGAACTGAATAGAAAATAACTTGAGACAGTCACCCAGACCGTGAACACAATAACTTTATGTCTGATTAACCGAACTGAATAGAAAATAACTTGAGACAGCCACACAGACTGTGAACACAATAACTTTATGTCTGATTAACCGAACTGAATAGAAAATAACTTGAGACAGCCACACAGACCGTGAACACAATAACTTTATGTCTGATTAACCAACCTGAATAGAAAATAAAGTGAGACAGCCACCCAGACTATGTTAAATAGTAGAAACAACACCGCGTTGCCACTTTTCAACATTTTCACCAGTGCAGCAGCAGCAGCTCCCTTCTTCCCGACGTTATACCTGGTAGAGCATTGTCCTGCCTCGTATGTATGATATGTATGATCAGCTGTCTGGCAGTTTTCAAGATAGTCTCTGCGACTTGAAGTACCAATTGTGCCTTCGGCGTGACCACTGTTATCGCTCGTCGGGATTCTTTCCCGATGGACGGACGATTCCGATATTCTTTTTTGAAAAATCGAGTACGAAGCATCTTGTTTTGAATCAGAATTTCCTAAACGATTGTTTGGATTCTTAGGAGTCGTCCTCGCTGGCATGTTTACATTATAGTTGCCATGACAACATAAACATCCCGAAAGGCACTGTCTTCGGAGATTTCTCGATTTAACCTGCACCCACCTCATCTGACACACACTGACCAACACACAGAGTCCACTGTGGAGAAGGAGTGTGAACAGGTATGTGATGATCACGGGTAGGGTGTCTGCATTCTTGGGGAGTTGTCCCGACACAATCCCCATGAAGAGGGACAGAGACAGCAGGACCGTTATCGAGAACGAGGCCCTCTCGCCGCTGTCCTCCGGCAACATGAACACAAATGAAGAGAGAATCGACATGAAGATGACGGGTACGATGACGTTGACGAGGTAAAATCTAGGCCTTCTTTTGAAGTTCATGGTGATGACCAGCCGACTGAAGCTCTCCTCGCCGAACTGTGGCGCTTCTCGCACGACGCTTGACGAGACCAGCTCCCACTCGCCGTTGGGAATGTAACCTCCGGTGATGACGAAGGGAACACGCGGGACGAGCACCACCTCTTCGGCGTATTCATTGGCCAGAAGGCGAATAAAACACGACTGCAGGTCAAAGGGGAAGTGTGTGATATCCATCACGCACGAGGCTGAAAAAACACTCCCAGGATACCATCGGGTTAACCCGCTTGAATAGATCGTTAACGGAGAGTAATCGTCCGCAAAGAGATCCCGTTTTGAGACGGAGTTTGACACGAACGTGCGGGGTCTCCAGATGTCAAGAGGTTCCGGGTGGATGAGCCGAATGCCGTCGTACTCGCACGGGTCCCAGGTACGGAGTTCATCACGCCAGGTGAAGTTCACCCACGCGTTTACATCTATCTTCTGCTGAGCTTCCGTGATGCTCAGGAGGTTGAGGAGGTAGAAGCTGACGTGGACATGGATGGGCCCACTCTGGTTGGCGACAGGTCGGATCCTTCTGTTGTAGGGCGCTATCAGCTGCTCGTAAAGCTCAGCAGAAGCGTTAGAACTTGCAGCCCACGCAAAATGCCAAGTCGCAAATAATGCCATCGCACATCGTAAGTAATGCATTTGTTTTGTGGCGAAGAGGTATACGAAAGAGCGAAATTTATAGAAGGGCTTCAAACTTAAGCAATGCTTTATTTTATAGAATCACAATGGTTATTCACATAATCAATCACATATATGTATAGATACTTTCTTTAAAGAATAAAAAAACAGGATTGCAGGCAAGTAGGTCTACATAGAGGAATAATTGTCCCTCAAAATATTTCATAGCGAAAATAATGACACGGTCTTCAACACAGACAAGCTGGGAGCGAAATGTTTTAGATTCGGAAAAGAGCGGTTAACTTTTTTCCCTTCAGCAATGTTTTGTGGTTTCTAAACAAACAGACCTTGAGATTATTCAGTTCTGTGACGTCATGCATCCTCCATTAAATGGAAATAAATCTGGACCTGCCTCCTCTGATAATTAGTTTAATAAGGGTGTTTATCAAACGAGCGCAGATCTTTGCCAAGGGGACACCTCCAATATTTACCGCTGTGGCCTTCACCGACGTTCAGAGGTGTGGATCGATACGGGCCGAAGGTTTGGTCTTAGCAAATAATAAAATGAATGTAAAGGTGAAGAGTCCGCGTTGAGGAGAAAAACCAGGATAAATGCTATGAAATATTAAAATTTGGAATTATACGGTAGTCCTTACAACAAAGAAAACACATTTTAAAGACACATTTTTAAAAAAAAAATCGTTTTCCTTTGTGGAGCTTTTGTTTCATCTCCAAAGATGTAGTGTTGATTTTGTATCTTCTTTGGTTGCTATTAAAAGCAAATTTTCCCACCCCTACAGATCTATACCGTAAATACTCGTGTAAAGGTCACGCTTTTTTGTTTTAACACCAACAATCGTTAAAAAAAAAAAAATCACGGGTATGACCTATAACTTAACATCAATTTTGTTCACACTGCTATTCGGCGTGGAGCATATCCAGAAATTTGATCGAAAGAAATTTCGTCGACGGTAAATTGATCGACGGTGATTTGATCGAATTTTTTTCTTCAGTTTTTACGTTAACCTTTTGCTTCAAATTTCTTTTTGAACGCATTATTTTGTTTTAGTATAGCATAGCATAGCATAGCATAGCATAGCATAGCATACTGCGTTAAAAAAGAAATTTGACGAAATACTGGTGGCTGGAAAGCCATGGATAGATCCGAATGGAAGGAAGTGGTGGAGCAGGCCAAGATCTTACATGGTCCGTAGCACCAATGTTGATGATTATCTCCACGTCCATTTTTTGTTACCACGCCGCCCACTACTAGATCGCCACGCCCGTACTTGATCGCCGCACCACTATTTAATCAGCACACCCTCACTTGATGGCCACGCCCCTACTTGCCGCATGAGGCTTATTATTTTTTTTCCCTTTGTAAACAAATTTCAATAAGAGCTACTAGATGTGGTCGAAACGAAGGTCATTGCCTGAATAATTTATAAGCATTTTTTTTTACCTTTTCCTTGGAGAAAAAAAACTCAAAATCAAATAAGTTTTGATTGATATTTGGAGAATTTCAGTAGCACCTCAATTACTAACTAACTAACTTAAGAAAATCAGTGGACACCGAGCCGAGGCTCATATGCCCCCCCCCTCCCAACGCACCACCCCGCCAACCAAACCGGCCTTCAACCACTCCCCAAGTGGTCTTTATTCCGATCGGGCCGCGAAGCGGCACGCCAGGGACGTTCCGCCCCTAAGACCGCCACACCCGACCTCCACGCGAGTGGCCGCTGAGTGTGCTGCTTAAGCAGCAACCGGCCGGACTTTCTAAGGGTTTGGAGTGGATATATTTAACGTCTCTAAGTCCTCCCTTCCCACTCCGGGGGGACGCGAAGTTGTTTGAACCGACGCCCTCTAATAGGGTTTGTATGGTTATTCTACGGCGCAACTAATTCGCACCGTAAGATGGGAGAGAGAGGTTGCCTAGGAACAGTCCAAGACTGCATAGTTAGAATCATCGGTGAAAGGCTGCCACACGCCACCTCATATCCATACGGCAACTGTAATCATGTCCCAACCTGTTTCTGCGTTTAGTCATATAAATTCTACTGCACTTGGTGGGAAGCCATGCAATCGTGCTCGTTCTAGCGCGGTCTCAGTGCGTTACCTTTGCCTTTCTGCGTAGGTGATATTTTGCGCGCCACCGAACTCATTGTTGAACCTTATTTTCTTTCAAACATTTAGAATGATCTGTAATATATTCTCAATACCAAAATTCGCTGATGAGGAAGCAGTTATTTAGGAAGCAGTCAATTAGGAAGCAGTTGAGAGTCACACTTATATATATATAAGAATTACATTTTTATGCATGTGTAATTGAAATTTATTTAATACGGCTTTTTGTATTTGTGTGACGGATGGCCCAACATCGAAACTGGGTCGACTCCCAGCAGAACCATCCCCAGCAAACCCATTGCGGGGGGCTAGTTAACCTTGAAAAGCAACCCATTTAAGAGCAGGAAAACTTTTAAATCAAACCAGGGGATGGAGCCCCGTAGGTAGTATGACATTGACACAACCGCACTACTGGTGCCAAGCTGTATCGTCCACACATGATGTTCCCTTTGGTTATCCAGACGCAGGGGAGATGCGCTTTACTGTCTAAGAAAACAGCGCAGCGTCCTAAAGTTAACAAAATCCAGGCCTTATGATTTTGTCCTGCCAGGTCTACAACATCGTCACATAGTGACAGATGGATGCCAGCAAAAATAATACGGCCGCATTTTATTACAGATAAATGAATGGGGCATTCCAGCATGAACGCAATTATGTGCCAGACTTTTTTTTTACACCTTTATGGCCTAAAATAAGTTTGAATTACTCATTTTCATAGCTTTCCTTGCTATTCTCTGTGATATTACATATAAGGTAAGTTTTATCATTTTTTATTTATTATTTACGTACATTAATTATACTTTGTTGGAAATTTTCCAGAACGAAGGCGTCTTGCCAAAATTTTTCATGTTTTGTTTTGTCTTTTTTTTTTTCCCTTCAGATTTTCCGCTACGCTTGATTTTTTATTTCCCACTGCTTCAAAATAAACGCTGGCTTCCACTTATTGAACTTATTGCTTTTTCCATTTATTTTCACGCAACACACTAAAAAAACACATTTAAAAAGAACACAAAAAAGCCTGCTATTTCAGTGTTATAATTTATTTGGTCTAGAGCGACGAAAAAAAATAAAAAAAGCTAATGACGGCTAGCATTTAAGTCCAAATGAAAAGAAAAATAATAAATAAATCTAGCACCAGTCGCTGGTACTATAGGAAACTTGTACAGCTGTCCGCCAAAATTAACAGTTTAGCAAACGCTGTTCTACATAACACATTGTAGCAACTTAAAACAAGAGTTCCCGACACAACGGAAATTCCCGTCTGGTATTTCCCTATAGATTTCCCCGAAATTTAAAAAAAAAAAACAACTATTAATATTACACGTTATTTCCACTCTAGAAAGTGTTATTATTGTATATATAATTATATTAGGGATTTTTAAAAAATTATTGATCTCTTAATAAGCCTTAATGGGAATATGAACTGGACTCGAACCATCATCATTTTGACTACAGTCTTTATGCAAGGTAGGCTGATGATTTCAATGAAGAATTACGCAATGAAATATTAACATTAAACATAGAGACACAATCTTGCCGAATCTAGGCCAAGATGGCGGGAATCAGGTTGCATTGTTGAGTTTGGTCAACAATATGTGATCAAATTTATTCATTCCTAACTGCTTTATAGACAATTTTTCCACAACACTGCTCAGGGTTGCCAACTCAAAAAAAATTCAAAAAGTGTTGAAAACTATTTTAAATCTTCACTTTTTCTTTTTACGGTAAGCAAGGTTGTTTTTGCTTGTTTTTTAACGGAGATTTTAAAAATGAAACTTAAGAAGCTAAAAACATAATTGAAATATCCGTACGACTACGTTTTTACACTCTATTGTTATACGTTTAAAGCCCATCACCCCCACTCAAATTCAAGACAAGAATATAATGATTGAATTGAGGGGCGTTCCGGCCTGTTAATTAAAAGTAAACATTGGTTGTCTTCAAGGTGTTTCCCGGCAGGGCCGTCTTAACAACATATAGGAGGCCCTGGGCACAGCAATGCACTGGGGCCCCCTAGCAACACAGCATACCTGGGCCGTGAAAAAGGGAGGGGTGGCGAAGGAGGGAACTCGCCCTATGCTCAAACAGTTTGCGGGGGGGGGGGGGGAAAAAAGTTCCCCCCCCCCACCAAGAACAAAAGGGGGGGAAAAAAAAAAAAAAAAAAAAAAAAAAAAAATAATAAAAAAAAAAAAAAAAAAAAAAAAAAAAAAAAATAAAAAAAAAAAAAAAATTAAAATATAGATAGAATAAATTATTTGAAATAAATCAACATAATCGTTAGCGTATTTTATTTTTTTTTAATTTTTTTTTTTGCAGAGAATTGTTTTATTATTGGTTTAAAGTCAATGGTCGTAAGGATGTCATTTTCCATGCACATAAATGAAAGCCAGTTCAAACTTTTTTTGTTTTTTTTTTCTTCATTTTACTGCGAAGCTGATTCTTACTTTATTATTATTTTTTTTTCGATTCTTATCTGGGTAAAAGTAAAAAAAAAATTTTTGACGAGAGTTATTGCCCTTTAAATATTTTAAAATTGTCCAACTTTGATTCGCATTTACACTATTAATTTTGGAATGTGCCGATATACATCGTGGGTTAAAAATGGGAATTTTAAATCCAATTAAATTGTCAAAATCGTTCAAAATTCATTTAAAATATGTCAAGCATGATACCTCTGTAAAAGTGAGTCTCCTAGAAACGTGAGGCCCTGGGCCAGTGCCCACTGGGCCCGTGCCATCAGAAGGCACTGTTTCCCGGGGGATATTTGGTCCGCCATTTATTATATCTCCCTGACCTATATTTTATGTTTTTTTGAATTCTGAATAATCTATGATATTGTTTTAGAACCCGAAGCGTTTTGGGTCTCCGTGACATAAGCCTTTAGGCCGCTTCTTTGGATTTTAGACGGGGATGAAAGGAAATGGCAGAGGAATTGGGGGGCATACCAAAGTGTGTGTGTGTGGGGTGGGGGGGTGGGGGCGTATATGTTTATTGAATGAAGCCCAATCTCGTTCATTTGTTACGGGATTTGTTATTACAGCATGAATTTATTGACGGATTTATTTAAGTTTTAAGTAATAATTGGCATTCCTATGCATATTCCTTCGTTACGTGATGTGGCTGTTCTTTATATACGAGCAGTTGCTGGATGTTATCGGTTAGTATGTACGGTTTTGCTTAAAAACACTAACACAATACGTGTTTTGAGTGTAGCGATTTGTTTTTTAAAAAATGAAGTTAGTCCATGAGTTTGCAATTTATGGATGTGGATATATTCCTTGTGTAGATGACGCAGAAAAAAAATGGTCTTACGGAGTGCCCTCTTTTGAAGCGATAGCGCGAAAATTATGGAACAATTTGCTTCAATCTTTGAGGGTGGATTAAAAATGATAAAAAATAATTTAAGAAACATTAAAAATGTTTTTTTTTTTTGCTTAAACAGATTTCAAAAAACCAGAGCGCATTTAGCATGCTACAGGGGCATGGATACCAGCGCGATATAAATATCAAAATCAATCAATCAATAAGCTAGAACTTATAGATTAATATTATAGAAATAACAACTAGAAATCAACTGTGAGTTAGCGACCTTGTTTTTATGGTAATTTTTTAAATATAATTTATTCCATGTCTGGTGCGCACTTCTGGTGCGCAGTTGTTTATTCCAACGGCAAGAAGCACATGTTTTCAGATAAAATTTTCGAAGTGGCTATTCGTACCCGGGTACCGGAAGTGAGATTTTGGGATTAAAAACTATTTAAAATTTAATGTCATTTGTTGTAGTTTATTTTAGTTAAAGTGAAGAATTAAATTTACAAACATATAGTCCATTCAATTATCTTTCATTTGATACCTCATTTTGTCTTACAAACCCATCAATAATAATTTTAATAGTTTGTTTTTTTAAATCTTAACCTCTCACTTCTGGTACACGGGTACGAATAGTCGCAGCCTAAAATTTTAGTGTTTCATTTTCTTTATTTTCGTAATAACTTACGTGCCTTAAAAATTTGATGTTTATACTTCTAAACAACTTCTTTGTTTAATCCCCAAAAACAGGATTTATGCAAAGTTGCGATGAACAGAATAAAATAATTTGCCCCGATAGCCACCCCAACTTTTGTCGTCCATATGGCGCATGCTGTTCACCCGATCAGTTCTGCCACGCGGGGGAAGGAGAGTGTCTCACTTGCTTTCCTGCAGACGTCACACCCGACAAACTGAAAGCATGGTGCATAGAGCACGTCAAAAGCGGTCTAAACGAATCACTTGTGAGGCATAAGACCTGCAGGCTGGCGTGTCTAGCTCTTTACAGTCTACAAGAATTAGAAATCGTACCACACACCGGAGCAAAGAAAGGTAGCGTACAATTCTGTTTTCTTAAAATGTACACATTGTTAGAGCATGTGTCTTGACATAACATTACTTTACCGTAGAACTGAAGCGTTCTCCACTCTTCTCCCCCACATCTGTTTTGTTTTTATATCGACGTCGCCGATTAAATGTGTAGCGCTGTACCAATCCCACCCCTTCCTAGATTGGGAAAAGATTGTTTACGTTCGAATACGTCCTAATTTGTTCTAAAAAATGCCTGAAGGTGACGCAATTTCAAGAATTTTTTTTTCTGGAGGGCTCCAACTTACTCCCCTAAATATAAGCCTATAAGCCGGCAGCTTTTCTAGCCGGGAGAGATTTTCTATATATATATATATATATATATATATATATATATATATATATATATAGCTTTAAACGACCTTAGCGATCTTTTTAAAAACAAAGCAGCAGCAGATGTATATTTTAATATATCATTTAAAAGAGGTTCATGGAAAGGACATTTAAGAGAAAAACAAACAATAAAAGCAATCTTTTTGAAAATATATTTCTTTGTTCACAGAAGAACGCGTGGAGTCATACTTCGTGGCATTTATTGTTGTTCTGGTCTTGCTTCTGGTTTCACTTCTGGGTTTAAGTATCCCACTAGTTTTCGTATCATACCGACTGTACAAGGAAGGGCAGCAACCAAGGGACGTCATACCCACCCTAGAAGGAGGCCAAACGCCAACCGGTGAGTAACGTCCCGTTTCATTGGCAGCATCGTCTCATATGGAAGGTGACACAGTGTCAGGGTGGCATTTGGGTCAAATGGAGTTGACACTCGGGACTTATGGGGGTAGCCATGTTGCCATATGGTTGTTGTCATATGGTTGTGACGTTCAGCAACATGGGATGACTTTTGATCACGCAGAGGGTGTCATTTGGACTTATGAGGTTGGCATTTTGCTATACTGAGGTGACAATGGGGGCCATTTAGTGGGTGACGCTTGATAGACCTAACTAATGACGTGTGCGTCCTTCCAGTTAAAACATTTGTATCGACGTAGGTCTGTAGTCTTTCCTTTTAAGTCTAATTAAATGCTAACACAATCTATTTTTAAGACTTACGACCCGGTGATCCTGCATTTTTTTCCTTACATTACACTTACATTTAATTACACTGATTTAAATGAAAAGAAATTGATTTTTTAAGATTTGCGGGAAAAAACTGTGTTTTTTTTAAAAAGGACAATCAAATCTTCGAATCTGTTCGACTGAATAGACATCTACATGAGAACTAGGATTATATTAAATATTTTACGTGATAAGTTATAGTTCTAATTTTCTAATGTAAAAGTTCAAATTACTTTTATAAACGTCTAAGCGGGTCGAACTATAAGTTTCATAAACCCTGTAGATTCCACAATTATAATCTCCATAAACCCTGTTGATTCCCAATCATAAGCTCCATAAAACCTGTTGATTCCCAATGATAAGCTCAATAAATAATGTTGATTCCCAATGATAAGCTCAATAAACCCTGTTGATTAAATTCCCAATGATAATCTTCATAAACCCTGTAGATTCCCAATGATAAGCTCCATAAAACCTGTTGATTCCCAATGATAAGCTCAATAAACCCTGTTGATTAAATTCCCAATGATAATCTTCATAAACCCTGTAGATTCCCAATGATAAGCTCCATAAAACCTGATGATTCCCAATGATAAGCTCAATAAACCCTGTTGATTAAATTCCCAATGATAATCTTCATAAACCCCGTAGATTCCCAATGATAAGCTCAATAAATAATGTTTATTCCCAATGATAAGCTCCATAAACCCTGTTGATTCCCAATGATAAGCTCCATAAACCCTGTTGATTCCCAAAGATAAGCTCCACAAACCCTGTTGATTCTCAATGATAAGCTCCTCATGTCTGATCCCACTGGGATAAATCATTAGGTCCTTTCGCTTTGATCAGGTCAGTGTTGAGCTGTGGTTTTACATCAGGGTACTTACGCGACACTGACATCAAGTTAAACCGGGAAAAACGTGACCAAACGCATACCCCATTTTTTCAGTTTGTTGGTCGATTTCATCCGTCATTAAACTAATATCTGAGGTCGTATCTTGAGATTAAAGTCTTGTTTTTTGGTTAATAACTTGCAGACATTAAAGTTATCAGTAATTTAGTGCTTAAACTTCATCTCTGTGCCTCTGATAGTGCAATTTTGTATGATTTTTTCAATCTGTTGCAGGAGTGCCTCCTGGACAAAAAGCTGAGCCAACAGATGTGACAGTCAAACAAGAAAATACAATTAATGCCGAAATTGAACGGGCTCGACCAGATGCGGTGACACCTCGGGACGATGGCTTACATCAGGCAGTTGCAACATCTCAGATAGATGGTACACCCCAGGCAGCTGGTACATCTCAGTCAGTTGATACACCGCAGGCAGCTGCCATATTCCAGTCATCTGGTACACCCCAGGCAGCTGGTACACCACAGGCAGCTGGTACACCCCAGGCAGCTGGTACACCACAGGCAGCTGGCACACCCCAGGCAGCTGGTACACCACAGGCAGACCGTACGCACCAGACAGCTGCTACACCCCAGGCAGCTGGTACACCACAGGCAGCCCGTACACACCAGACGGCCGGTACACCCCAGACAGCTTGCACATCTCAGGCAGCTGGTACGCCACAGGCAGACCGTACACACCAGACAGCTGGCACACCCCAGGCAGCTGGTACGCCACTGGCAGCCCGTACACACCAGACGGCCGGTACACCCCAGGCAGCTGGCACATCTCAGGCAGCTGGTACGCCACAGGCAGACCGTACACACCAGACAGCTGGTACACCCCAGGCAGCTGGTACGCCACTGGCAGCCCATACACACCAGACGGCCGGTACACCCCAGGCAGCTGGCACATCTCAGGCAGCTGGTACACCCCAGGCAGCCGGGACACCACAGACAAGTTACGCAAAGCACGGTAATACAAAACCCAAAAGAAGCACAAAGAGAGGGAGAAGAAATCGAAGAAAAAACAATGGGCCTTACATTCAAACAACCGCATCAGAAAGTGACTGTAATGACGAAGAGAATGGACTACTCTCGACTTAAAACTGCTTAGAACAGTCTTTTTAAAAGCTCTCTCACATAGGGATGGATTAATGTTGACTCCCCCCCCCCCCCAAACCCACCCCAACGGCAAATCGGTTATCTCTTTTAATTCGTTTTTTTTTCGAGAAGGTCTCGAATCTTGTTTTGTGGAAAACATTTTCGTGAGGTCCCACACTCCCCCCCCCCCCGGGCCACAAACACCCCCACCCCCTAATGAGTCGACCCCTGTTTTTACAGTGCATTCCAAGCCGTTTCTCACAGCCATGTCGAATCTGCATTTTTTTTTGTGAGGGGGAGATGGAAGAATTAAAAAGAATCCCATTTAGCGCAGTTATCCAGTTATCGGGAATTTAATTTGGTGAAATCAGTGTCAGCATATTTCCTTATTTTTTCTCCTTGAAAAACAAGAAAAACAGATTTAAGGGGGTCGGGGTGGGGCTAAAAATTTGATAGCATGTTTTGTCATCGGCATTGAGTCTATGTTGCCAAGTTTCAGCACGATAGGGGAAGTCGGGAAGTGGATCAATTAGCCGTACGAAGATTTTGCCATCCAGCCAATCATGAACAAAAGCGAATTTAATATAAAGGAGCTCTTAAATACCCTTATAAAAATAATTCGATAATAGGTTTGTGAAGATCAACAATCGGTTGTCAGTTTCAAAACAAATAACTTGAAATCCGATTATCGTTTAACATCCTTACCCTCAGCCCCAAATCCCTACCCCCCCCCTTTTTTTTTTTTCTTAAAAAAAAAAACACCCTTCTTTTATACTCTCCATTGCTGTGCGTAGTGCAGAAGACAGAGACGAATGGAGGAGGATAGTTCACATGTCATCTGTGGCACCCCCCAAAGGTCCAAGGACTTAGGGACATGATGATGATGATTGCATAATTATGTTATTTAAGTTTTGATCTTGGAACTGTTCACCAAGATGGCAACCTATCCTTCACATAAATTATTATTCTTTTTCTTAATTTAAAATATTGATCATGGCCGCGTAGTGTCAATTTAAAAGATTAAAGTTTGGTTGTCTTCCATATTGGTAGATTCATCTGTAAATAAAGAAATGTTTATATATTATTTATTAAAGAAATGTTTATATATTATTTATTAAAGCGTTGAATTTTTTTTTTTTTAAAGTTAAAAGTTCTAGTGAAACATGTCTCGAATCAAGATTGTACTTAGACTGAAACCAGACAACTCGGCATAAGCAAACACACATTTTTTAAAGTGAGATGTTCGAATGGTACGGAAACTGTTTCAATAATTTCAAACGTAGAGTATTCCAACCAATACGAAAACAAAAATACGAAAACAAAAAATACAAAAATAAAAATACGAAAATAAATCCCCCCCCCCCCCCCAAAAAAAAAACGGGTGGGGGGGGGGGGGGGGGGGGGGGGGTGGTTCCCCCCCCAATTTTTTTTTTAAAAGAAAATTTTAAAAAAAAAAAAAAAAACGAAAAAAAAAAAAAAAAAAAAAAAAAAACGGAAAAAAACCCCCCCCCCCCCCAAAAAAAAAACGTGTTGGGGTGAGGGGAGGAGGGGTGGGGTTGTTCACCCCCCAAAACATCTGCTCTCTTTTCACTACGCCCCTGGGAAAGACGACTCATCTCGAGTCGTCTGAAGAGATGGACTTGGATCATCTTAAGTAAATTAATCACACGAATTAACGGCTACTTCCGTGGTACACAACGAGTATGTCACACAGTTGAACACACAAGGAACGTGACGAGTGAATTGTTCATTGAGTCGATTACAAGTATGTTCACCATGTTCTTGCATTATGTTTGTGTTTGTCAAGGTAACGCAGCGATTGATCTGATGATAATATGTATACAAGGTAATTCGTATTTATTTTATTTTTTTTTACTGAAATTCTTTTATTTATGATAATTTGTGTTAATGTTTTTAAAAGCTATCAAAGCAACTCTGAATCATTTATAATCCAATTAATATCTGTCATCATTCTGTATGGATGTGCTCATGGTGTGTTAAATGAAATGTGTTCAAACTATGACAGCCAACTAAAATGGTCACGTGGGCATCAAACGGTATTGAACGGAGGCAAGTGGAGTATTGCAATATGCTCAATGCATCACTTGGTTCCTCTTCCAATGAATGTATCGCATTTTTTTGTTCAGTTCAATTTAATAATTATTAGAACAATTTTTGCTGTTTGTTACTAGCTGGTTGTTCCGTTCTTCTGAGCTATGTTTTTCGTTGGGGACTTGTGACCCATTCTTATTCTTTTGTTCTCTTTCATTTTTTTGTAGAACTAGTTATGATATATATATATAACTTTATGTAAATTTAATTTATCTTTTTTATAATTTTGTTGGTTTGTTCTACTGATGAATGCATTTTTCCGAAACGTTTAAATTTGTATCTTGTGTCGCAATAATTAAAAGCTTACCATGCATTATTTTCTAACACAAATTTTTTGTGTCTCATTCTACTTAATTAAAAATTAAAAGCTTTATCGTAATCCAACACTTTATGATATGTTGAACGAAGGGAACTATGATATTTCTTTTTAAAAACAGTATCACTAAGTATCAAGTAGTTCCCATTCAAAACCATCGCCCCCATTTTTTTTTCTCGCTTCCTCTCCCCGCCCCACCAAAAAAAATGACGCCCCACCAAAAAAAGAGGACGCCCCACCAAAAAAAAAGGACGCCCCACCAAAAAAAGAGGATGCCCCACCAAAAAGGACGCCCCACAAAAAAGACGCCCCACCAAAACAAGAGGACGCCCCACCAAAAAAAGAGGATGCCCCACCAAATAAAGAGGATGCCCCACCAAAAAATGAGGACGTCCCACCAAAAAAAGAGGACGCCTCACCAAAAAAAGAGGACGCCCCACCAAAAAAAGGACGTGCCACCAAAAAAAAAAGGAGGCCGTCCACCCCACCCCACCCCAACTAAATAAATAACCTGTCTGGGTACATTGCTACAATTACGTTTTACTGCATCCATTTTAAGAACTACTCCCTCCCCCCCCCCTCCCCCTCGGCCCAGCGGTTACCTTGCCTGTAGTATGCATGAGTCACCTTCTGTTTCTCTCGCTGACAGGTTTGGTGACTTGATTACACATACAGATCACACACACTCACACCGGTAAGTTTGCCTGTGTCCGACCTGTGTCATAAAATATTTTTTGTCTTACGTCTCTCTATGTGGATTCGTGGGAAAAACGTTGACAATTCGAGAAGTGTGTTTGTTTTCTTTTGTGGTGTTAGTGTTAGAGAGTACAAATACATTCAGTACACATCATACTCCTGTGTAGGTTTCGGGCCAGTAATCACCAGTGTTTGAAGTATACCCAACGTTCTACGCCCCAGTTGTATGGTGTGTTCCTCCCGATAGTTGCAAAAAATCAATCCTAACACAGTGGTGGATTGCACAGCACAGTACGGACTTTTCAGAGGCGTCGCTAGGTTTGGTGTCACCCGGTGCGGTAAAACTCAAGGTGGTTGGTCTGCTGAAGAAGGCGTTTGGCCGAAACGTCCTTGAAACTGTCCGGTCTCTTTTAAAAAAAAAAAAAAAGCCTACACATATCTTGTTCCACTATTTATTTACTTTGCACGGCTGGAACGCATTCATTACCGTATCCTTAAATATTGACCAATCTTGACCTCATCGCCAGGGACCGGACATGCTTGGGTCGTGGGCAAAACTATTAGCAAATTAAAAACAATGACAAATATTATTTTGAACAGAAACAGAAGACTTGAAACAGAGACGTGAAAAGGAAGACGTGAAACAGAGAACGTCAAACAGAAGACGTCAAGCAGAGGACGTCAAACAGAGGACGTCAAGCAGAGGACGTCAAACAGAGGATGTCAAACAGAAGACGTCAAACAGAGGACGTCAAACAGAGGACGTCAAACAGAAGACGTCAAACAGAGGACGTCAAACAGAGGACGTCAAACAGAAAAGGTCAAACAGAAGACGTCAAACAGAAGACACGAAACAGACAGTCAGAGTTCGCTGTTGGTTTAAAATAATACACACACTACATGTAATGCTATACTAATTAGAGGATATTTTCCCAACTGCTTAACACGAAGTAAACACCAGAGTGGCCTACTTGTGGGCACCAATGTTCCCTTTAAGCTGCGCGGCCACGCAGCTATCTCACAGACGCCGCGCAGCAGTTTTGAGTATCCGCGCAGCAAATTTCTATTTTAGTGTGTGTTTGTGGGCTGTAAAATTTTGCACACAAAAAATTGACGCTGTAAAACGTTGCACACAACTGTAGGATTTTGCACACGAACCAGCAAACCTTAGAGGGAACATTGGTGGGCACCCAAGTATTCAACAGAACCAGGTCTACTAATAGGCACCCCAATATTCCACAGAACCAGGTCTACTAATAGGCTCCCCAATATTACACAGAACCAGGTCTACTAATAGGCACCCCAATATTACACAGAATCACGTCTACTAATAGGCACCCCAATATTCCACAGAATCACGTCTACTAATGGGCACCCCAATATTCCACAGAACCATGTCTACTAATAGGCACCCCAATATTCCACAGAACCATGTCTACTAATAGGCACCCCAATATTCCACAGAACCATGTCTACTAATAGGCACCCCAATATTCCACAGAACCATGTCTACTAATAGGCACCCCAATAATCCACAGAACCAGGTCCACTAATGGGCACCCCAATATTCCATAGAACCGATTCTAGCACACATCCCCAACCCTCACACACTTTTCTTTAAACCTTTCCCGTTTGTACTGCAAAGGAATGCTAAATTATTATTTAAATGTACTTATTTTAATGTTTAAGTAACTACAACACTACCTCCACCCCCCCCCCACCCCCAATCGTTTTTTTTTCTCCACAGGATGGTCCTAGCAATATCACAACTTTAAAACTTGGGGCCCACCTTGTCTAATGATCTATAGCTCCTCCTGGCATCCTGTCCTAAATGTTCACAAGGCATGAAGCCATCTGCTTTGAGAGGCTTCATGGCCTGACATCACATTCGCCACCACAAAGAAACGTTTCTCAACTGGTCGCTAAACCAAATTGACCCCCAAAATGTGAATTATAGTGGATGGTCGGTCATTAAGTCAAATTATGTCAGCATCCAACACCACCCCTCCACCCCCCCCCCTTTTTTTTTAACCTTCCTTTGACAGACAAAGAAACTTTGCCTTCGTGTTTCATCTGCAGGTTCAACTGGTCGCTAAACCAAATTGACCCCCAAAATGTGAATTATAGTGGATGGTCGGTCATTAAGTCAAATTATGTCAGCATCCGACACCACCCCTCCACCCCCCCCCCCTTTTTTTTTAACCTTCCTTTGACAGACAAAGAAACTTTGCCTTCGTGTTTCATCTGCAGGTAATGCTTACCTTGGACCTCTCTGATACATGGCCATCTGTGACGCAGCGTTCAGAACTACGGTAATGATGTCAATAACAAGATCAAATTTCTATTGACCCAGGGGAATGTTTACATCTGGTGTCGCACGGCACTGCTTAAAACGGTTCTACAGATGACGTTCTGTCAATCAAGGAGCAAGGTCAGTGTCAGGAGTCACATGATCAGTACATGTTTTGTTTTTGCCCCCCGTTTATTACTATTTAAAATCTTCTCATTCTTTACTCTCTTTCTCTCTCTCCCTTTCTCTCACTGACTCTCCACTATGTACCCTCTCTCTTTCTCTCTATACCTGTCTCCCATATGTCTCCTCTCCCCTTCTCTCTCTTCCGTATCTCACTCTCTCTCCTATGTCTCCCTTTCTCCCTCTCTCTCACTCTCTCCCTATGTCCCCATCTCTCTCCCCTGCCCCCTCTTTCTCTATTTTCCCTCACTCTCTCTCCCATTTCCCCTCTTTTCCCATCTCTCTATTTCTTCATTTTACTCTCTCATTCTTCATGTCTCTCTCTCTTCTTTCTCTCTGACTTCCCCTCTCTCTCTCTCTCTCTCTCTCTCTCTCTCTCTCTCTCTCTCTCTTCCTTTCTCTATCTCTCTCTCTCATCATATCTCTATCTTCCCCCCTCTCTCTCTCTTTTCTCTCTCTCTCTCTCTCATTTCCCCTCTTTTCCCCTCTCTCTCTCTCTTCATTTTTCTCTCTCACTCTTCATGTCTCTCTCTCTTCTTTCTCTCTCTCTCCCCCTCTCTCTCTCTCTCTCTCTCTCTCTCTCTCTCTCTCTCTCTCTTCCTTTCTCTATCTCTCTCTCTCATCATATCTCTATCTTCCCCCCTCTCTCTCTCTTCTTTCTTTATTTCTCTCTATCTTCCTCTCTTTCTCCCCCCTCTCCCCTTCCCTTCCCCTCTCTCTCTCTCTCTCTCTCTCTCTGTGTGTTTCAGTCACCACTTCATATCCCAGAAGTCCCCACCACAGAGACCATCTCTAAATTCACTTTGACCATAAAAACCCCCAAAAATATTGAAAATCGTGAGGTACAGTTCAAGTTAGTTCCTTGGACTTTGGTCAGTGAACATTTGGATTTCAATTAAATGTTGAGTAGGGCCTAATAAAACATTTATGTTAACTCTGATTGGTAGTTCTTTAAACGACATCGTCACAGTCCACTGCTGTTCAGTTGTTGTTATTCTCAAATTGAGGTGTGTGTCGTCACGATGTTGCTATTTATCTGGACAAGAATGTGGGTTGTTTTGCAGTTTATAACTTGAGGATTAGCTTTAACCCGTAAGACAGTGGTTCTCAACCTTCCTAATGCTGCGACCCTTTAATACAGTTGCTCGTGTTGTGGCGACCCCTGGCCACAAAATAATTTTCTTTGCTACTGCATTAATGTAGAGCATATGTGTTTTCAGATGGTCTTAGGCGACCCCTTGGCAAGGGTCGTGCGACCCCCACAGGTTGAGAACCGCTGCCGTAAGACATATGGACACTCGCGGGAATACCCGGTGTGATCCTGCAGGACAGGGCTTCTCAAATCTTTGGCATATTCAATGCTATTGCATCGCCTAAAAGCTAAAACTAATATTTTGGATGTTTATGTTTATTTTTACTAATAATACTAAGAAATAATTTTTATTGAACAATTTTTAAACCAATTTTGTTTAATTGAGCGATCGTGTGTGTAAATTGTAAAAGTAATCATTGTTCATCATTCCAGACATGGGAGAACGGATAAATTCAACACACATGGATTACACAGGGCGGATGAACTCGACACATGACACAGGTGTGTACACTCTAAGAGTTGGCTGGCGATGCGTAACAAGGTATCCATGGTGCTTTAAAAAAAAATGATTTGGTCTTTTTATTATACGGTTTGTCATTTAATGGCGAAAATCTATTAATAGAACATCCAGTCTCGCCAATCTCATTAAGATATTAATAAAACGTGAATGTGAGCCAGTATCATAGGTCTTAACCTAGACGAATACGGGTTTAAAAATTTATTTTACAAATAATTTTATAAGCAAGTTGTTACTGATATATATATATATAAAAGTGAACGTTTGTTTGTGGGTTTGTTCCACAAAGGCTTTTACAATGACGTTTCGGCTTGTCAGTAGACAAACATGAAACAACAAATAACCAGAAGGGAAATAGCAAAAACTGACCAATTAATGCTATGGGGGTTCCCCTGAGTTTCTGCGTTTGAGTGAACTCCCCTTTGATTATTCGCGTGTTGCTATTAGAGTAATAAACATTATCTTTGGTATTAATACGCTATTGGAATGTTGTTGTTTTTTAAAATTGATATTTCAAAGCGAGGTTAATTTATTTACCGGCATTTGAAAACGAGGTTCTCTGTTGTTTTTTTTTCTTTTAGGGCCAGAGACTGATTTTTACATTTTTAAATTTTATTCTGTTTTTTCTGTTGTTTGTTCGCTGACGAAGGCTTCCTGTCGAAACGTTCGTTGTTTTGTTGCATTCTTTTTTTACAGGTTTGGCCTCAATTTGTTTTACTCATTTCCTAACCGATTGCAGTCTCTCCCCTTAGTACCATTTTATGACCACGTCTGGGATGATGGTCGTGTAAACAAAAAAAAAACAAAAAAAAATAATAAAAATAAATAAAAAATAAAGTTCCTAAGCAGGGGAAAAGAGGGGACCCGTATATCTTAAATTTGCCCCAAAAAACCTATGTGTTATAAAATCTTAATGAAGTCAACGTAGCTTTATTTTCAGAACCGTAAGCGACTTCAAAAACGTTCTGTTGATTGTCCTGTTGATTGTCCTGTTGATTGTCCTGTTGATTGTCGTGTTGATTGTCCTTTCTGTTCATTTCAAGCACAGACCTATATTGTTACACTATTTCCTTCGCGTGGCTTGAAGTCAGTCCCTCATGAAAATCAAGATATCTTTTTTTTTTCTTCTTTTTTTTGGTGCGAAAAATAGTGGCGTGAAAATCAATGCACTCTGTGAGTGCGCAAAAGAAAGCACATAATCTGTGTTGATGTCTCTGTTCAAGTTTTGAAAGGAAGTGGGGTGTGTGTGTGTGTTGTCTTGTTCTGCTAACCCATGTCTGAGAACTCTGTTGTAATCTGTCTGAATGTTTCAATGCCTGATGTCACGTCCCTCTCTAGGGGTCATTAAGATGTGGGCATCTGACGTCAGCACTCTAAGGACTTTAGGTAGGCTCACAAGGTACTTTTTTTTAGCAGTGGGCTGGCGGGCATGGGTGGGCTGGAAAGCTACAAGGCTGTACCGTAGATAGGTTATGTAGATTTGTAGCTTTCCAGCCCACCCATGCCCGCCAGCCCACTGCTAAAAAAAAGTACCTTGTGAGCCTACCTAAAGTCCTTAGAGTGCTGACGTCAGATGCCCACATCTTAATGACCCCTAGAGAGGGACGTGACATCAGGCANGGGGGGGGGGGCGTTAAAGACAGAAGATGTCACTGTTATAAACGTTAATGGTTTAATAGTGATTTTTTTTTTTAGATTAAATGCTAATTAGTTTTAATTTTGAAAACAATTTTTTTTTAAAGTTTGAAGGTGTGGCGTAATTTAAGGGGTTGGATTGGGTTTTTCTGAGATTTTTGACAGATTGTGACAGGGAGGAGGGAGGGGGTAAAAAATGTAGAAATTTAGCGTGACGTCCCTTGTCATTATTTTGATCCTGAAATCCGTTATCGTAATTGACCGGATATGTAGTCGTGGATTACAGGAATGTGAATCGTAATATAACGGTATCAGAATCACAAAGTGACGACATCAAAATCGTAATTGATTTGCAGACTGCACCATTTCAGTGTTACTTTAATTTGATCTGTGGCCCCCCCTCGTATTTCAGCTCTAGCGGCGATAATCCTGGCGTCCATCAGCACATCTCTGACACTGGTTATCATCATCTACTGGATATGCTGTCAGGTTCGGATGAGGAGGGCGGCTGCTAGGAGAAAAGACGTCCCGTTGGGTAAACATGTTTGTCTTTATAGATATCTTTATACGAATAAGCTCAGCGGGTCACGGCCTTTGCACAAGGTAAAGAAAACATTAATTCTTTTCAAAGCTGAAGATTTCCTTTCACAAGGTTTGAAAACATAAGGCGCCAACGACACTTCAACATAATCCGTTTTTAATTTTAAAAAAAGATTACGTATTTCAATAGCTTTGACTCAAATAAATCTAACTCATGAGAACATACTCAATCGATAGATCTTTTCACATAGACAATCTATTGATCTCTCCCATAGACACAATCCATCAATCTCTCCCCAGACACAATCTAACGATCTCTCCCCCAGACACAATCCACCGATCTCTCCCCAGACACAATCCATCAATCTCTCTCCAGACACAATCTATCGATCTCTCCCCTACACACAATCTATCGATCTCTCCCCCAGACACAATCCACCGATCTCTCCCCAGACACAATCCATCAATCTCTCCCCAGTCACAATCTATCGATCTCTCCTTAGTCACAATCTATCGATCTCCCTTCAGGGACAATCTATCGATCTCTCCTCAGTAACAATCTATCGATCTCCCCTCAGTCACAATCTATCGATCTCTCCTCAGACACAATCTATCGATCTCCCCTCAGACACAATCTATCGATCTCTCCTCAGACACAATCTATCGACCTTTCCTCAGACACAATCTATCGATCTCTCCTCAGACACAATCTACCGATCTCTCCTCAGACACAATCTATCGATCTCTCCTCAGACACAATCTATTGATTTCTCCTCAGACACAGTCTATCGATCTCCACTCAGACACACTCCCTCACCGATATCTCCCCCAAACACAATCTATCGATCTCTACCCTAGACACAATCTATCGATCTCTCCTCAGACATCAAACGGTCAGTCGTGGAACACGAGCACCTCATCAACAACCTGACCGTCAAGCTGAGAGACGCCGTCAAGGATTTGGACCGGAAACTGGAGGACATGGGGTCACCAGTGGACGTTGCAGGTCAGTTGTAAATAAATAAAATCCATGGGTCTCGTCAAGCTGCCGATATTTGTATTGCAAATGAATAGCCCTTGCCTCTTCAATTTAACTTTTTTTTTTAATACATTACGCTAATGTTACACTATTGTTAAAGGCTGATGTCTAATTTGTCCAAAATGATGGATTAATGACTTTCAAAGGTGTCAGAAAGTCAGTTCAAAATGAACTTGGGCATATACGTATACCAGTTTGGTTAGAAAAACTATATAAATATATTATATATATATATATATATATATATATATATATATATATATATATATTATTTTTTCTATTTTTCTGTCATTCGCCCGTCACAATGTGACGATGGTGAGGACTTCGCAGGACGAAATCCACAACACAAGGCCTTGGATTATTCTTCTAGGATTATTGAACTCCAGACCACCAACTTGAGATCTGCTCAGTTGAGGCCCCTCGCCCCCCCCCCCCAGCACCCGCATCATATAAATATATTTTATATATCCACACATAATAATTTTTAATTACAGATTTGAGGCTAAAATCTGATGCAATGGAGCGACTTTTGAATGAAAAACTGTCGCAAAATAATCTGTCGATTCAACCAGATGTCATGGTCGATATTACGTCACTGCGGAATAGAGTTCACGCCCTTGAGGCAACCGCGGAAAACATTGCCCAAGATTTACGACGCATCAGTGGAGGTAAGGGATGCAATTCGTAAACAATTACCCACTGTGTAGTGATTTGATGATAATGAAGTAAAAACACGTGGGGAAAAAAGTTGGGAGGGGGGGGGGGCTATTTTTTTTTATAGTGTTGGGAGAATTCATGTTTTTTTTAAGTACAGCGTGAGTGAACGCGATATCTTGAATGTGAGAGGACATGTTGAATTTTTCTAAATGGATTATTGAATTATTATTAGATGAAGTATTATTGAACGTGTGTGTGTCTTTATATTCTTTGTATTGCGGCTATGATTGTTACAAAGATATCCTGATATCAAGGAATTATTTTACTTATTTAGTATATGTGATAAAGTGCTGTGAATATCATCCATTTTGGACATTGTTGATTCTTAAGAGAAGGAAGAAGACAGTTTTTGAGGAGTGGAATGAATTGGTCAATTAGTAGCGGCAAGCCATCGCTTACAATAAACTCAGTATTAGGTAACATTGTATGAGTAACTTCATTGAACCACAGTCGCGCCATCAGCCATAAGAAGGTTACCATATACTAATGTTACACCAAGCATTTTGTTTGTCTTGTTATGTCTCTGTCTTTTCCATTTCTTTCATCAAAAGATCTGCAGGTGTTACAAAGAAACTTCACTTTCGAAAGAAATTTTTAAAAAATTGATTTTATAGTTGATTCATGATGAGTTGTAACGAGACGCTGAAATCAGACATATTTAGTTCCCTGTGATTTGTTTAGCTTATCAATTTAAGCATTCCCAGCCTAGACTCTGGTAATTCTCTAACCGTGTAATTTAATTTTGTAGGCTCGGACTCCAGCTTGAAAGCGAGGCCTTCTCCTGTGGAGAGTCCCGCTGCCAAAGGTCTACAGAGTTATCAGAACAATCGGATGTTTGAAGAAATTATGGCGTACCGGGGAAAGATTGTCAGCTTAGAGAAGAGAGAAGCGGGTAAGACAATGCCAGGAGGGGCGGGTAATACATGGGTTTCTTTTTTTTTTCTTTAAGAAACTTCTTTTATTTTGAGAAATCTCTTTGAATATAAGAAATCTCTTTGTCTTTAAGAAACCTCTTTGTCTTTAAGAAACCTCTTTGTCTTTAAGAAACCTCTTTGTCTTTAAGAAACCTCTTAGTCTTTAAGAAACCTCTTTGTCTTTAAGAAGCCTCTTTGTCTTTAAGAAACCTCTTTGTCTTTAAGAAACCTCTTTGTGTTTAAGAAACCCTTTTGTCTTTAAGAAACCTCCTAGTATTTAAGAAACCTCTTTGTCTTTAAGAAACCTCCTAGTCTTTAAGAAACCTCTTTTTCTTTAAGAAACCTCGTTGTCTTTAAGAAACCTTTTTGTCTTTGAGAAACCTCCTAGTATTTAAGAAACCTCCTAGTCTTTAAGAAACCTCCTAGTCTTTAAGAAACCTCTTTGTCTTTCAGAAATTTCCTAGTCTTTAAGAAACATCCTATGTTGTTGGGATATCTCTTTTTCTTGAAGAAACCTCATTGTCTTTTAGAAATCTCTTTATTTCCTGCTCTCGGAATTCAACCTTTTATTTTAAATGAACACAACAGAGACCCGGAAGCGGTTACAAAATCTCCAGCAGAAGGTGGCCAGTGTCATGGCGGAGCTGAACATGGTCGACGATAATCCTCTACAGGATGCCTTGTCTGACACGGCGATAGACTCAAACAGTTCCCTACCGGGTGAGTTTTAAAGACGTTACATTTACTTCAGATATTCCCCGACCAACAAAAGACATATATTTAGTTAAGGTACCATTTTAAAAAAGAGGCCCTTTGAAATGTGGCCACACACACCCCTCCCCACCCCCCTCCCCCCACCCCCCCCCCCAAAAAAAAGATCGTAAGATTATTATAATTATATCATCAAAAAATGTCCAGTCGCGGATGAATACAACAAAGACATGTCAAAAAATCTGAAAATTTTGTAAGCATACACTCTTATAAATAAACATAAACAAAAAAGTCAAAACTTTTGATTCCATGTCCGACAATCTCCATGTACCTTATTTTTACCCCCCCCCCCCTTTTTCTCCACTCGTCCATCAAAAAAACAAACAAACAAAAAAAAAAACCCCACCCACATCGCTCATTGTTGTTGCCGATGTTGCTGGTCCTCAAACTAGCCCTTCAGACTGACCCATGAAGATTTCTTATGAATGAAATTTTTTGAAGGTATTCATGGTTTGAATCCAGGCGATTTACTTCTTTAATGTAAATAGTCCACTCGCCGGTCCGTGTCTCCATCCGCATGGCCACCCATACGCTCAAAGGAGCAAATAATTTACCCAATCCACTTGCCAGTCATCTTCGGGTCTTTTGGTCCCTACTCACCAAATGATTTATCCACTTATCAATGTATGTCTTAATGGATACGTCACAGTGACGCCAATTTTAACTATGGTGACACATGAATACATCACAGTGACGCCAATTTTAACTATAGTGACACATGAATACATCACAGTGACGCCAATTTTAACTATAGTAACACATGAATACATCACAGTGACGCCAATTTTAACTATATTGACACATGAATACATCACAGTGACGCCAATTTTAACTATAGTGACACATGAATACATCACAGTGACGCCAACTTTAACTATAGTGACATATGAATACATCACAGTGACGCCAATTTTAACTATAGTGACACATGAATACATCACAGTGACGCCAATTTTAACTATGGTGACACATGAATACATCACAGTGACGCCAATTTAACTATAGTGACACATGAATACATCACAGTGACACCAATTTTAACTATGGTGACACATGAATACATCACAGTGACGCCAATTTTAACTATAGTGACATATGAATACATCCCAGTAAAGCCAATGTTAATTAGTGACACATTGATCCATCACAGTCAATTCAATGTTAATTAGTGAGACATGAATCCATCATAGTTAAGCTAATTTTAAATGTGGTACATTTTATGGATTACTCTCAGATATTTTATGGATTACTCTCAGATATTTTATGGATTACTCTCAGATATTTTATGGATTACTCTCAGATATTTTATGGATTACTCTCAGATATTTTATGGATTACTCTCAGATATTTTATGGATTACTCTCAGATATTCGATGGATTTTATGTGTCCTGTTAATTTTCCATAACCTTTTATCCATTTCCAAATTTACTCTTCAATCCTTCCCGTCATCCATCTAATCCATGTATATTTTCATGTATTCATGGACCCATCATTTTTTGTCTTCTTTTTCATCCAGTTTTAACACCACCTTCACCATCATACAACCATCCTTATTCTTCTACCCATCCACTTACGATAAAGGCACCACTCAAAAATGAATTTTCTCATGTTCATCTACACAGCCCCCAAATTTGTTCATTTTGTATTAAATAACCCCTAAAAACAAAGTCTTTCCTATAAATTATTTATATGCATTTTTATTATTTTATTTTATATTAATATTCTAAGATCTCCCCTCCCCCCTTTTCCCCGCTTTTACACCACAGATTTATTTCACCATTTTTTCAGAAAAATAACCGAAAATATTACGCATCAAACGCACATGCAATATATTTTTCTTTAAAAGGATCTCATTTAGCGCAGTTTTCGGGAATTTTATTTCGCGAAATAAGTGTCATCATATTTCCATTAATTTTTCCTTTGAAAAATAGGGAAAAACAGATTTTCGGTTTGTTGAGGTTGGGGCTGAAAAGTTGATAGAATGTGTCGTCATCGGCCACGACGAGTCTATGTGCCAAGTTTCAGCTCGATAGGTGGCACAAATTAGGCATCTTATAAGTACGTTATTTCAATGCATATTTTGTCAAGTAACTTTAGTAAATGGGAAGTTCATGGCCGCCATTGTTTTTCCCCCAAGGGAGTTAAGGATATAAAACCATAAATTGTACGATTTTTTGCCTGCCAGCCAGGCAGCCTGCCAGCTAGCCAGCCAGGCAGCCAGCCAGGCAGCCAGCCAGGCAGCCAGCCAGCCAGGCAGTCAGCCAGGCACGAACAAAATCGAAATAAATGTAAAGGATTTAAATGAAGTTGAATGAAATAATATTTCATCGCAATACATGAACACGTAGGGAACAATCCAGCCCGCTACGCTACCGTTGAATGTGAAAATATCTGTACGAAACTTGGCATCGTTATTATGCAACACAAAAGGTTGGGGTGGGGGGGCGACCTTAAAAATTTTGAACTATTGTTTTTACTTTGCCATTACACTGAGTGACGCCCCAACTTACATGATATTTGCCGTCCCTCTATACTTAATTACCCATCGCCTGAAATTATGTTTGCCATCTCTCTATCATTTATATCACATATAAATCGTTCCCCTCTTTGGCCTATTCATTTAACAAGCAACACGTGCATTTTTCATTCATTCCACCCACACACTCATTCTTCTATTTCTCAATCGTTCTTTTAACCTGGTATATTTCTTTCATCCACCCAACAATTTATTTTCTCTACCAAAATTTATCCTTCCATCTCTTGATCAGTCCACGTATACATCCATCCAATATCCATCCATTTATTCTTCTATCTCTTTATCCATCCATTTTTTTTTCTTTTATTCCGACCGCTTGATCCAATCGATAGGCTACTAAAGTAAACCTCATTGAATACCTTCTCTACCTCACAGCGTCGGGCGCCAGCAGCCAGTTCGACACCAACCACAAGAGCAAACATACCTCGTGGGCAAAGACCATCCAGGCGGAACCGTCCCCCAGCATGAAATCTTCTTCTGTTCCCCCTCGCCCCCCAGTCCCCATCATTAAAAAACTGGACTACCCCACAACTCCCGTCGCCGTGGACGTTGCCATGGACACCGAGATGAACACGTACCTCAACGCGCGCCTCACCGATCTCACCGGGACCGGGAACCTCTCCGGGCGCGGCTCCGATGAGGACTTCTTCCCGAAGACGTCGCCACCGGACGGCCTGCAGAGAGAGCTCACCAAGGCCTTCGACGTGGGCAGCGACAGCAATTTAAACAGGACCATATGCAAGAGCCGGGACTTTGAGATGGGAAGCGACGCGGACTACGGGCTGGACATTTTGAAAGGCAGCGACGTCGACAAAGGGGCGAAGTTTTATAAAAACTTCCACGCCGACGTCGGCAGCGACAGCCAAGAGGGGAGGGTCATCATTTCCCGGAATAACTCCTACGACAGCAACGTCGATACTTACGACAGATTCGGGAGTGGGGTGGACTCCTCGGAAAACAACACCAGAATATTGACTAGCAGCGCGCCCGCTCGCTCCCGCGGAATTGGTGTCGGAGGAGCCCTTACGGTGGTGGGGACTGCATTTTCTATAACTGGTGAAAGCGTGGTCGAGGAGAGTGATCCTTTGTTGGATAGTGAGTGCTGAGTGATTCTTTGTTACACAGTGAGTGATGATTGGTCCACTGTTAGACGGTGCAGTGCCCAGGCGTTGCCGGCACTAGAAGCTTTGGGGGGGAAAATAGATTCAGATCCGCTAGCTTTGAGTCGAGGTAACCAATTCTGTTTCATCTCGGTCCGTATACACTTCGAGATGCTACCCAACTTTCCTAAACGTTATCCCCATAGCTCATGGGCATTCTGCTGAAAGACGCCTGAGGAGATATATATCGGACTTAATCTTCATAACTGTTTCGCGTCTTACTTAAAGCTTCTTACAAAGTTTCGTGGACGGATATTTGTGGCAATTGATATTGGTGCTTAGCACTACCAATTCTCAGATTAGACAGTGCATGGGGCTGGGATGCATTTACAAGACATGTATATACTGAACTCCTTTTTCTCACACATACATTTTTTTTTATAAACATTATTGTGCACACCAACACATTAGAACGCTCTATTCATATAAACAGCGCTGGGCGGTATTGTCAGAATTAATTATTTTTTTTTATTTGAGAAAACAAATCTAAGGAGAATTGTGTTGGGGGTTTTTTTTTTTGTTTAATTTTTGTCCCCCCCCCCACTTTTTTTTTTTTTTTTTTTTTTTTTTTTTGTTTTTTTTTTTTTTTTTTTGTTGTCCCCCTCTCTTTTTTTTTTTTTTTTTTTTTTTTTTTTGGTGAAAATAAATAGTTTTTGCATTTGTTATATTCTTTCTATTTTGGAAATAGTTTTTGCCCACTGCAGAGCTGCTTTCGTGGAAGTGCAGCGGCAAAAACCTTGGTTCACATTGGGCGGCACTAGCCTTGGCTACACTACCCCTGGGATTCGATGCGATGAGATATACACTGCATCTTCCTTTTGGTCGATTTGTCCGATTTAAAATTTCGTTTACGTCAATTTTAAATTGCTTTGTTTCGAATCCTGCGACACCCATGTGATCATTTTTACGACACCCATGTGATCATTTCACGACACTTATGCGATCCTTGTGCAACACACCGGTGATGTGGTTCGTGTCACACATGTTCAATGTCAAAGTCATTTAATCGCTTATATAGAGCTGTCAGACCAACTCCTGCGATGAAACAACGTATTTTTAAAGGAAAAGCATTTGATGACTAACCAGAAATACATTTAAACACAAGCGGAAGGTCTGCAGTAGATTATGATGTAAGGATGAGATATCTCCTCCGCTGCCCGCCTCTTGCCTCATATCCGTCATCGGCAACAGAGTAGTAAAACATCCCTGCCCCCCTGCTTCTACGGTTATCTCAACTCTCAGGTGTGATCACATTGGACAAAGGCTACCGTTGGCAATGGGGTTGCTACAATTTCAGGACGATACCATTGACCATGCGTGCGCCTCTACTGCCCATGCATGATCACGCAATGGCGGTTATGTTCCCCGGGTAGCACTAGGGTGTCGGTGGCGGCGCTATCTTTTGTCAGCACGCCACTACAGACCATGTCGAACAGAGACACCGTCTTGGGGGGGGGGGGGGGTGGGGGGGGGGGCCGGGGGACAGATGACATAAAAACCACCCGATGCGACTGATACAAATACATCATTTGTTTGTTTATAACCATGAATTAATCATCTCAATACTTTCATCTAAACTGCTAAAGTCTTGTCTTTAAACATTTAGGGTCTCCACTCTCTACTCTGGATAAGCCACTGCTCTTACCTATAATATAAGAAGTTTTTTTTTTTTTTTTTTATATTTTTTTAAAGGGTTTTTCTGTGATATGGTTTGATTTCTCTTTTCTACGAATTTAGTTTTTTTTTAAAATAAATATTCGATTGTTGTTAGCATAATATATGTATATGTCTACAATATATTATGTCATAATGTTTATGTATTCACTTTAATATTAAATAAATTAATGAATGAGCCGTGAAGAAGTAATCTTTCTGTAGTTTGTTTATCAATTGTACCCGTTTTGTGTTTGGTCAGCTTTCTTATTGACCTTGAGCCTGGATAGGATTTACAGATTCCCTGTGGGTGTGTGCGAGCAGCGTGTGTGTGTGTGTGTTTAAAATAAGAATGCGTTTCAAGATGGATTTCATCCCAAATTCATGATTTAAAATACAATCCTATTAGGCCACCACTTAGTTCACGGGAAAATTGCGCTTGCAGGTCACAAGCAACATTTAAAAAAAAAAAAATCCTTATTCTCAATATATAAACCGTTCATTTTCAACCGCTCCTCAAGATTGCTACAGTCTCATCATCATCATCATCATCAGTGGCACTACAGCCCATATAGGGCCCTGGCCTGCTCCACCACATCCTTCCACTCCAAGCGATCCATGGCTTTCCGTCTCCATGCTCGAACCCCCAACAGGTGTAAATCTGTCTCCACATCATCAATCCACCTCAATGCTACATTCTCAACCGACAGTTAATCCCATGATGGCACCCATCAGGTACACTCAGGGGCGGATAAAGAGGATTGCCTTCGAAGCTGCAGCGATAGGACCTTTCCCAAAGTAACCCAAAATGAAAACTGGCGAGAATGTTCCGGAACCTTAACTGTTTTCCATTTTCTATGTTAACCTCAAAATAATAATTTCTTAGAATGCAATTTTGGATTTGGTGAAAGTTTTTAAAAGCCTTATAGTCGAGATGTCGCGATAATCATTGGTCATTTAATCATTGAATATTGATTTTTTTTTGTTTTTATTTTTTAAATCCTTCATATTAACTTCGCTTTTGTTCGTGTGTTTCTTTCTGGGTTTGTGGCAAAATCTTCGGAAAGCTAACTGACCCCCAACCTTCCCGTCATCCCATCGAGCTGAAATTTGGCGGTTAGATTCGTTACAGATAACACATCCTTTCAAATTTACAGGAACCACCCCCCACCCCCCACACACACACACACCCAACACCCCCCCCCCCCAAATTCAGTTTTTCCGGTTTTTCAAGGAGAAGATAAGTGAAAAATGCTTCGTTCCACGGTAGTGTATTTTGGTGTGGAGAGTAATGGTGCAGCTATGCATTTGTGACGTACTTAGATAAGCAGTTTTAAAAAAAAACTGTATTGTTGAAGGGGAAAAATAAAGGAAATCTGATATGTCTTTTCGTAAGAAGTTTACTCATTCTCTTAACCGCTTATGAAGAAATGATAAATTGCGTACTGTGATATAAATGATAACAAAAATGCATATAAATGATTTATACGAAAATCTTTTGTTATTGGGGCTCTTTTTATTTCAAGTTTAAATTTATTTATTATTTTCCAAATTAATCATTTCAAAATACAAATATCAAGATCACGCTGAGGGTAGGCACAGATCTGGATCACGTTGAGGGTAGGCACAGATCTGGATCACGTTGAGGGTAGGCACCGATCTGGATCACGTTGAGGGTAGGCAAAGATCTGGATCACGTTGAGGGTAGGCACCGATCTGGATCACGTTGAGGGTAGGCACATATCTGGATCACGCTGAGGGTAGGCACCCATGTCCAACTATGTTACCCATGTCCCCTTGTGTTACCCAAGTCCACCGGTGTTACTCATGTCCCCCTGTGTTACCAATGTTCACCGGTGTTACACATGTCCCCTGTGTTACCGATGTTCACCGGTGTTACCCATGTCCCCCTGTGTTACCCATGCCCCCGTGTTACACATGTTCACCGTGTTACCCATTTCCACCGGCGTTACCCATGTACACCTGTATTATTGTGTCACCCATTGTTACCTGTGTAACCCATATTCACCTGTGTTATCCACGTCCTCCCGTGTTACTGTGTCACCCATTGTCACATGTGTTACCCATGTTCACCTGTGTTACCCCATTGTTACATGTGTTATCCATGTTTCCGTTATCCACGACCCCCCCCCCCCCCTTGGCACTGTGTCGGCCATGGTTACCTGTTGACACTGTAATAATTTTTTATTTAAATGCCAGTTTTTCATCTTATGTGTGAACCAAAAATTGGTTGGTGGTTGTTCCCCTGTGTTACCCCATTGTTACATGTGTTATCCATGTTTCCGTTATCCACGACCACCCCCCCCCCCTTGGCACTGTGTCGGCCATGGTTACCTGTTGACACTGTAATAATTTTTTATTTAAATGCCAGTTTTTCATCTTATGTGTGAACCAAAAATTGGTTGGTGGGAGATAGCGCTAGGGGTCTCTCAGGATTTGATCCTGTTGTAAGAGTGAATCCATTCCACTGAAAAAAGCACGAAGTAACCCCACAGCCATGGCTTCCCACGTCAATAATTTGTCCCGTTTAGTATAATATATTATCATGGCCTTTTGGGGAAAACCAGCTCGCTATAAATAGAGCCCGTCTTCTTGTCCCCAGGCCCTTCACGTTACGGTACGCCATTAACAGATAACAGTTTTTGTTTTAAATAAACTTAGTCCTTACTTTTGCATTAGTAATAATCCATGTTCTGTTGTAAATCATTTTACTGGCTCAAAAATATTAATGTTACATGATTTGAAAATTCTTCTTCTTTTGTGTGTGTGTGTGTGTGTGTGTGTGTGTGTACAATACTAGACATCTTAATCTTTCACGTACCTTCACTATCACAATAATATCAATTCAATATTAATACATCAGAAATCCCTATCATTATCAAATGATCAGAAAACTTAACGATTAATTTTATTCTTATTTCAGTAATATTAGAAATCGTATTGTCACAATTATATATTAAAGTAAATTATTATTAATACATTGTCATAATCTTCCGTCAAATGAAAAGAAATGTTATACTTTCAACGGGTCACCTCAAAAAGTGCCAAACGATCTCACGAGTTATGTGTGACGTAATGAAACTCACGAGTTGTGTATGACGTACTGGAACTCACGAGTTATGTGTGACGTAGTGGACTCACGGGTTGTGTGTGACTTACTGGAACTCACGAGTTGTGTGTGACTTAATGGAACTCACGAGTTGTGTATGACGTACTGAAACTCACGAGTTGGTGTGACGTACTGGAACTCACGAGTTGGTGTGACGTAATGGAACTCACGAGTTGTGTGTGACGTAATGGAACTCACGAGTTGTGTGTGACTTACTGGAACTCACGAGTTGTGTGTGACGTACTGGAATTTACGAGTTGTGTGTGACGTACTGGAACTCACGAGTTGTGTGTGACGTACTGGAACTCACGAGTTGTGTGTGACGTAATGGACCTCACGAGTTGTGTTTAACGTAATGAAACTCACGAGTTGTGTCTGACGCACTGGAGCTCACGAGTTGTGCGCGACGTACTGGTAGGCTTCGTCACAATACAGACATGAGACCCGAATGTTGAACAACTAAATCCGTAGAAGTTAAATTCTTTTTTTTCTGTCAATCATTTCTCACTGCTTTATTTATTAAATGAAATTACA